CAGCTGCCCCTGACCCCCCCGGGACTCTAGGCCCCGACCCCATCCCCAAGCAAGCCCTCGCCTTCGCCCCCTTCTCCCCACCCAAGCGCCTGCGGCTGGTGGTCAGCCATGGCTCAATTGACCTGGATGTCAATGGGGATGAGCCATGATGGTCTAGACAGGGAGGCCTGGTCCCCCCTTTCCCCTGGACCTCCAGAAGGAGCCCTTGGACCTCTGAGAGGGAGCAGACCCTGGACCCCAGCACAGATCTGACCCTGGGAGGGGATTGAATTGGACATCTCCAGGGATCTGAACCCTGACCTTTTGTGACTGCTGACCCCTGAGCCATCCCTACCCGTGAAGGGAGCTGTGGCCATTTGCTGTCCTCCCTACCCTTGCCCCTGCCTCAGGACTGCAGGAGCCATCCTCCTTCCCTCATCCTCTCTCTCCCCAGGGAGCAAAGCCATAAGGGGGTGGGGGCCACCCCATGGCGTCTCCCCAGAAGCCCAGGCCTCATGAGGAGGTGGAGCTGATCCGGGGGGTGGCACTCCATGGCGACTGCCCCCATGGAGGAGAGTGGGTTTGCTCTCAGCCCTGCGCTGTCTGAGGTTGGCAGGGAGAAGGTTGGCAGGGGGAGTGTTTGGGGGCATGTCCTCCTCACCGCCACTCCCCCCTCTGTGGGTCTCAGGGAGGCCGGGTGCGACCTCATCTTTCTATGGTGCTATCCCTGGTGCTACTGGGGTGTGGGGGGCTCCCTCCCCTCCCCCACACCAGAACGGGGTATGTTGGGGGATTGAAAGCACTTGAACTTTTTATTTTATTAAAACCTTGTTATAAGCAGTGCCCTTGGAAGGTTTTTTGTTTGGGTTTATGTTTTGAGGTGATGTCAGTCAGGAGAGCGAGACCCTTGGCCTTGCTGGGGAGATGGCAAGGAGGCGGTACAGGCCTTGAGCCCTGAGAGCTACCGTGAGAGGTCTTTGGGATGGTGAAGGGTCAGTGTATTTGGAGGACTGCAGTATCCACCCATTTTGTCTCCTAGGAGAAGATTCCAGATGAGTTAACAGGTCCAGCAAGCAGACTGACTTGCCTGAGGTCACACAGGGACTTGAGGGCCCCTCTCTCACTTCTCAGTCAGATGCCTCTCCCACACTTCAGCCAATCAGGGTGAGGTGGGTGGGGGCCAGTTGTGCAGGTATGGAGCATGGGGGCTGCCCAGGCACCTGAGCAGGGTTTGGGGGAGGTGCCACTAATGGGGCCTTCCTCAGCTGTCATCTTGGACTTCACTGTGTGTGTGAGACCGGAACAATGAATAGATGAATATTCTCCTTACTTCAGGTCTTTTTTTTTTTTTTTTTTTTTGGGCAACTGGCCTTTGTGGGGATCCAAACCTAAGACTTGATCTTATAAGGCTGTGCTCTAACCAACTGAGTTAACCCACCTGCTCCCAATCCAATGTCTTGATTTTGCCATCTCTTAACTCACAGCCACCCCAGAAGCCCCATTTTACAAAAGGAAATAACAGCTGACAGTAGTGAGCACTTACTGGTTCCTTACTGGTTCTGGGCCCCCCACTGAGCATCTCAAAGTCAGTTTTATCATTGGGGTTGCAGAGTGTTTAATGCGGGCAGGCCATAGGAACATCTACAGGCCAGCCATGGGCTGCAGGCACCCTCTTGTATTTCCTTTGTGTCAGCCAGCCTTGGACAACATTTAGCTTGGAGGTTGGCAAGGCCAGGCTGCTGTGTGTACTAGGAACCCCTCCTTGGTCCTGGGGAGAGGAAACCAACAGGGAAGGAGAGATGGCATCCAGACCCGCATGGGCTGTAGGACGGTGGTCCTGGGACATGGGCAAAAGGGGTCCGTTGAGAGCCAGTAACTTTTTGGCAGCTGGCCAGAAAGGGAATCCAAACCCTTGACCTTGGTGTTATCAGCACCATGCTCTAACCAAGTAAGCTAACCAACCAGCCCAAGAACGAGTAACTGAATATGGCCTGTTTCGTTCTTTTTGCAAAGAAAATTTTTCTTACAATGCAAATCCTACTAAACTGTTTTCTCCCTCATGTTAAAAATGAGGGAGAAGGTTCCAGGCCATCAAACAGTGATGAGAATGAAGAGAGATGGCTGCCATAATGGACACTGAAGGACTTCTCTCTCTCACAAGCTGAAGTGGTTTATTTAAGAAATTCAGATACCATCACCTGAATTTTAGATAAAGATGACAGCAGAGCAGGGGTTCTTTGTTGGAGGTCATGGATGAACATTGGAACTGACAAGAACCTCCTGAAATATTGTTTTAAATGTTGTGAATACATATTCATATGAACTTTTTTTCTGCGGGTTCAGAGCCTTTATCAAATTCTCAAAAATGCAGGGCCTGCCCGTGGCTCACTCGGGAGAGTGTGGTGCTGATAACACCAAGGCCACAGGTTCGGATCCCATATAGGGATGGCCGGTTTGCTCACTTGGGGGAGCGTGGTGCTGACAACACCAAGTCAAGGGTTAAGATCCCCTTACCGGTCATCTTTTAATAAATAAATAAATGAAAAACAATGGTTAGGGTTTCTCTACCTTGGCACTGTTGCCATTTTGAACCACCCATTTCTCTTTTTTTTTTTTTTGGCAGCTGGCTGGTACAAGGATCTGAACTCTTGACTTTGGTGTTGTAAGGCTGCTCTCTAACCAACTGAGCTAATTGGCCAGCCACTGAGCTGGCTATTTCTGTGGTGGGGGCTGTCCTGTGCATTGGAGGATGTTGAGCAGCTGCCCTGGGCTCCACTCTCTAGATGCCGGTAGCATCCCTGCTCACCCAGTTGTGACAACAACAGTCTTCAAACACTGCCAGATGTTTCCCTGGGGTCCAGAGTCAGCCTTGGGCTGGGAACCACTGGGCTAGAGTGATACAGAATTGATGAGGAGCGGACACCCCAGACACCCCATATGTGTCACAGCACTGATCCTCAGGACCACCCTATGAAGTTAGTTTCTGCTAGGGTTATCCCTCCTGTACAGACAACACCAGGCCAGGGAAGGTAGGTCTGGCTGCCCGGGTTTCCACCTTGACCACTGGTTACAACAGGGAAGTGTGAGGAATTCATGTCACAAACAGCTGGTGGAACCTGGGGGATGTCCATGGAGGGACAGAAGGTCCTTGGGTGAAAGTCTGGGCACAGCCTGAAAACCCCATCACACACACGGGGGCTAGAGCAAGGGAAACTAAGAAGGAACTGGAGACTGTAGTGGCCAAAGGCGAAGGCAGAAAGAAGTTGAAAGAAACAGGAAATAACAGCCAATGCTGAAACTGGACGCATATCGTGCCACACACTAGTATTGTTCTCAGACTTGGGCAGTGGGGGCTTCTGCCCCAGGGGTGCCACATCCCATACCCCATCCTTCCCCTTGGGGACAGGATTGCCTACGGGAGTTCCAGGACTCTGGTTTGTGGGGTCATCCCCTGGCTGAACATCCAGTCACTCCCATTGTCCAACACAATATTGGCACCAGAATTGGGCCAACATGCTGATTTTGAGTAACTCAATTTGTTCGTGTAGACAGAGACCCATACCCTCTGAGAACAGCCGGGCCAGACACTGTTCTAACTCCTTTATGTGTTCTCACGTCATCATCCTCCCCACAGCCCTGTGAAATACAGGTATTACCATCACTGTATTTTAGGTGAAAAGGCCATGGTACAGGGGACCTATGGAACTCATCCTAGGCCATATGGCTGGTAAGCTGCAGGGCTAGGACTTGAACCCTTTCTCAGAACCTAACCAGGCTCTTTGACCTTCAGGATGGGAAAGAGGCAGATGCCAGACAAAGGAGGCCAGAGCTGTGCCCAGTGGGAACCAAGGGACAGTGAGTTGGGCAGCAGTGGCTTCATGGGGTGGGAGGTGGGGGCTGGGAGGGAATGAAAAGGAGAGGTGATGGAGAGTGGGTGGCCCTGAGGGTTCATGGAGCAAAGGGTGAAGGGCAGCAGAACATTTATGGTTCTGATCAGGAAACACCAGAACCTGTCTCTAGGTTAGAAGGAGCTGGTTCTAAGGGAGGGACTGCAGAGGGAGGGGAAGAGAATAACAACAGGCTGAGAGGATGGAGCTGGAGGAGGGGAAGGAAGAAGAGGAGGAAGGGGGAAGAAGAAAGATGTGGAGGAGGGAGAAGAGGAGGAAGATGAAGAGGAGGTAGGAAGGGCAGGGATGCAGGTGTTTTGAGATGGGGTGGGAACACGTTGATTGGCCTCAGTTTCCTCTGACCTGGGAGGCTGCTGAGAGACAGTGAGCCTGGCATTGAGGGTCTAAGGAGGCAGCCACTGTGGATGCAGGTGGGGAGAGCTGGCTGAGGAGCTGTGAAAGAGGTGTTTAGAGTTTGCAGTTGTGGTATTCCACCAGGCTGGAGGCAAGGTGAGTCTGGCCCTGGTCTCAGCTCACGCATTGGTAGGGCACTGGTGGCTGGAGGGAAGGCCAGCCAGGAGTGTGTAAGAATGTGCTGAGCTGAGACCTGGAAGTGGTCATTGATGATTGTGGGGAGGATCACAGGCACATGGAAGGAGGGAGGCTGGCCAACAGGACAAAAATGGGCTCCAGGCATTGGGCTCTGGAGAGGTCAGGAGGCTGGCCATTGCTGAACAGGTGCTTGCGATGATACCTGGTGACCTCACCAAGTCCTCAGACAGCTGTTCTATTCTGTGACTCAAGAGAGCAGTCTTGCCCATATGGTACCACTGGCTTTCCTTCCTGTGCAGTGCTGCCTCTGTGCAGGTGTTGTCCAAGGCTCAAGGGACATCGCATGAACAGGGGGCCTCCTGTAGCCAAGTCCATGCCCTGCACCCTCATACATTCCCCTGCCTCTTGGGTTGTGGTCAGAGACAGGGAGCCGGGCAGCCAACATCTCAAAGTGGAGTCATCCTGGGGGATGGCACATCTGAGGTGTGCTCTGGGTGGGGTGGTGAGGACAGCATGGAAGGCAGGTGGTAGAAGGATTCTCATGAGGTGGGGAGCAGGATGGAACCAATTCTCTGAGCTCACTCAGCCCCTCCCACCCCACCTTACCTGATAGTGGGACTTTGAACCATCTTGGTTTACAGCAGGGGAAACTGAGGTCTACACAGGTCAAAAGGCTTGTCCAGGGTCAACCAGCAAGTTGTTAAGATTAATCATAGTCACCTTTGAACCCTGGAGTTGAATGGGGCCTCACAAGACCGCATCAGTCAGTCTGGGGGTCTCCCCTTCTGAGAGCACTCCAGGTCACCCAGGTGGTGATAGCCTCAGGCAGCAACTGTTAATCCAGTCCTCCAGGTGCCAGGCACAACCAGGCTAGAACCCTCAGGTTCTGTCAGGGATCACTCCTCGGCCTGGGGAAAGGCAACATTTGAGGGGGCATCTGGAACTAGAATGCAGCCGGATGGGAAAGGAGCAGAGAATTATTAAGAGGGGGCTCTGAGCGTCCCCAATGTCCTCACAGTTGGGGAGGCATCAGCGGGAGAAACTGAAGGGACATGTGTTGGGGAGAGACAGCAGTGGTTGGGGGGCAGACCCCTTGCATTTCAGAATAGAGGAGGCTGCTTCTCCTGGCTGTGGACGCGGGTGCTGAAAGAATGGAGACAGGGAGGGAGCCCTGGACCCTGTTTAGAGTAAGAGGGCTCATGTTCTGGGAGGGAAACAGAGCCAGATGGGGGCAGGGGCATGATGGAGAGTTGTGGAGAGCCGGAAAGTGTACGATCAGGGTGAGGATGGAGGAATAGGGTCAGTGCTCGGTGGTACAAAAAAGACCCCTCAGTACCCGAGATGGGATGGCCCCGGGGTGGGGTGAGGGAGGAGGCTGGGGGCATGGTCCAGGCAGGAGGAGAGGAGGCTGAACCGTGGGTATGGCGGGAAAGACTTGGGTGACAAGTAGGTGTGGATATCGAGAGAAGGGAGCACCCTGGAGCCGTCTGGGTGGGCGAGTGTTGAAATTCGGAGACCTTGGAGTAGCTGCGGCTGTAAAGGCCCCTACTTACTGGAACGGAGGGGCAGGGGACAGGAGGCGCTCGGCTTGTTCCCAACTTCCTACCCTAGAGCCCTGAATGCCCTCCCCCTATCTGATGGAGTAGTCTCCCCTTCCACCACCCCCCCTTCCATCACTGGCAAGGGATTAAGAAAAAACATTTTCAACAACATAACTTTATTTGTGGCTTAGGGATTGGAGGAAAGGGGGAGGTAACTGAGGCCGGGTCTCCGTGGGACGAGGTGGGGGGTCACTGGGCATATCCCTCGGAGGAAGCCTTACTCGGGCAGTCAGATTTTGCCTGCGAAAGTCCCATTCCTGATCTGCTCGTTCCAGCGATTCACCTGGGGAGGCAAGAAGGCAGGGAGCGGGGCGCCGGCTCAGCCTCAGCCCGAACCCTCCACCCTCTCTGGGTCGGACGTTCCTTGTGCCTGCTCACCCAGCTGATGGGGCACAGCGAGTAGTACACGCGGAAGTAGTACTCGCAGGGCTGCGTGCTCTTCCCGCGGCGGCTCATGGTCTTGACGCAGCGGTGGTAGTCTGCGGGTTGCAATGGGGCGGGACGGGGTGG